GAATGTTTGCAATATGCTCCAATTTTAGGGTAATTCACAATATTGATAATCATTTTTAAATTGACTGTATACACAAGTTGGTTGTCTAATGAAGAATGTACATGAAATGTACTTTCATTAACAGAAGTAACTTGAAGATTTTCGCTTTTTACAAAATGATTGATATTCTAAGGTAGGTTTGCCACTCACGATAGAAACAAATTTAATGTGAGTCGACGTGTATGATAATTTTCAAGCACTTCGAATACAAAATCAACTAGAGCTGCTGCATTGAATGCTTTGCATCGTTCCAGTACAATATCTTTAAAAATTCGTATTGACTCAACAATGTTATTTGTAATATTTTGTCCATGAATATTTAAATCTTTTCGATAACAAATGCCCACTTTAATTCTGTTTTCAATTTACCCATATGGTCAGCAAAAGTTTACTGGATAGGCACAATTCTTCAATTCCACCCCTGTATATTTTCTTCATAAAATCAAACAAACATCTCTAAACTTAGTCATTAAGGATTGTCTCAAATTGATTTATTTTATGTTTTGTGTCCATAACCATCTCCAAAGTGCTTTGACATACATGAAATGCACAACAAAGTAGTAATGTGGATTTGGGGAACACTTGTTGTAATGTTTGATTACAGCTGTCATCAGTCATGAATACTAATGATATTTTGTCAATAAAATCCAATTACCCAAACATTTTGAAGTAATAAAATGCTTGAACATAACTTTCTTTGATTAAATATTTATGAATAATGACTGCAAGGGGTATACCACCAACTTTAGATGAGCCAAAGAAAAAGTCACACATGAACTACTCTGATCACAAGAACTACTTGAATCTACAAACACAATGTCTTTTGAAATGGCAATCCATGAGCTCTTTTCATTAAGGTGTTACAAATACAAATACATAAAGGGCTTTCTTCAATTTCAACTAATCCACCAGCCTAAATATAACATCTTAGTTTGCATAACTTCTATAATACCACTTACTGATCTGTCACCATAGTTCAAAGACCTGATGATAAAATAAATGTAAATAACTTTGCAATTGTAGTCTATAGATACAACTTAAATAAATGTCTCCAATATTAATGTTAATTGATGTGCTATAATTATTATTATTGGGTTAATTATTTATCAATATAAATAATATATTCTTACTCTATGTCTCTATGATATATATTATATATAGTAAATTTTTATCAAATACAACATCTAACTATCTAAGTACCTAACAATAAATTTAACGATTCATAAGAATTGGTTAAAGAAAGTGTAGGGTATATTTTTAAATTATTAATCAAATTTGAGTTATATACACTTATATTTAGACAAAGAATGTTAGAAATGAGAAAATTCAAAATAATAGATTTTGGCAAAGCTAATCTGTTAACAATATAGCATTAACAAACATTTGAATTTTATCAAGACCTACAGTTGAATTCAAGGTTTAATGTTTACAAAAATATACCTACCTACATCAAAAGTTACAAATAGATAAATTGTTTTATAATAAAGCAATGAACAATATTATGTTGTCACATGGTAAAATATAAATAATATTTATATAAGTGCATATTTAATAAATATAAAACCTTTGAAATTAAAATTATTAATTATTAAATGTTAAATGGTATAGAAGATTTTATTATCTAATTAACAATTTAATTACTCCAATTGTCAAATATTTGTATTACTTGTCGCTCTGTAGGGTTTATTTGAGCATCAGCTAATAATTTAATGATATCTAAATTCTTCATTATTATCAGTAATTAGTTTAACTTCATGGAAATTTTTCGCAACCGATGGAGTCATTCCTTTTGAAAAGTATTTATTAAATTCATTTTGTACCTTCGATTTTTGACACTCTGAGGTAACTGTATGCTTCAGCGTTGTTAATTTTGTGGCTATGTTCAAAATTTACCTAAGTTATTATAAACAAACAAATTTATTGTATACATACTAAATAGTAAATTATATAAACTACTATTTCATATTTTACAAACCAAGGGCGTACCTAAGGGGGGGGTTTTCGGGTCTAGACCCCCCCCATTGATTAACTGAATTTAAAATGCTTAAGGTGCAAACCACAGATTGTATAATATAGTATAATTGGTATTTTATATAGTAAATGTATAATGTATATTATAATAAAATATCAAATAGAATGTAGCATTACGTCATCCGGTCACCGCTACAATATACACTTTTTATCGCCGTCTCCCATGTTCGGTTGGCCAAACGTACCAAATTATAAGTATTTATAATTAATCGCAAGTCCTCTCTTTTACGCATATTAATATAATATATATAACATATATTATATCATTAAATTATCTAAGATTATATCTTTGCTTGTCCAAGAATTATGTTGATAACGATAACGTGATTTCAAGATTGCAACAACAGCAGCACAGCTGATATTTTTATATAATAATATAGTATTATTTAGGTGGTATTTCCGGAGTATTACCACCAAAATAAGTATATAAATAAACAATAATAATGTTAATGTTTAATGTCTTTCTGTGCTATACAATCGGCAGTGCGCAAGTGTATATTTCTTATTATTATATTTATTAATTAAAATTTTAAATAAATAATGGATAAGTCATCAGAATCATCTGCAAAAGCAAAATTGGAAAAGTTTTTATTTAAAAAAGATACAGATATTCAAGTAAGTAAAAATTAATATTTTTGTGTTGCATATTTAAAAACATTATATACATTAGTTTTGTAGTACTTAATCAAAATACCTATATAAAATTAAAAATGATTTTTTATTAATAAAAACTAATAGTTTAAATGTCTAATAGTTTTATAAAGAAGTTGATTGTTGTGTTTTATATGTTTTTAAATTTAATATGTTTATAATAAATATTATTTTAGAAACAAGACAAAAAAAGATCAAATGTACAAAATCAAAATAGTTTAAATAAAAAACAAAAAATAGATAATTACTTCAAAAGTACTGTTTCAAATGTAAGTTATAAGATCCAAATACATTCTATCTAAATACTATCACAAATACATAAGTTATTTAAGTAATTTAACTTTTGATTATTTCAGAATACAGAAAGTAGTAAGATAAATAGTGAAAAAAACCAAAATATAATTGACCAATCTATTATTACAAACTGTGATGTAAGTATCTATGTATTTTATTTTAATACTACAATGCTCTAATATACTCAATGTTATACAAAGCTTATTTAATTTTCTAGAGCCTAAAAGATGGTCAAGATAGCCCGATACAAAATTTTACCTCTAATTATGAACTTAAAAATACATCGAGTGAAAATGACATTTCATTTCTTTTAGATAATGTCAAATTAAATTTACAAGAAAGATTAGAATTTATGAATACAATTTGGACACCTGATTTTAGTTATAATTTTCCAATAAAAACTGTAGGGAAAAAGCATCTTAAATTTCAAGCAAGCTGGCTACTAACATGGAAATGGCTTTCCTATTCTAAAATAAGAAATGGGGCCTTTTGCAAATATTGTGTAATTTTTTCTCAAAAAGAAGGAGGAATAGGAAAACAGAGTTTAGGCATGTTGTGTACTAAAGAATTTTCTAATTGGAAACATGCCATTGAAAAATTTAAAAATCATGAAGAAACTGGTTATCATAAAACTTGTATAGAAAATTATAAAGTAATGTCTCAAAAAAATTATACTCCTATAAATATGCAGATAAATAAAGCGATGGCTGCTGAACTTATTGAAAATAGGAAATTGGTTATGCCTGTAATTGAGAGTGTAATTTTTTGTGGGCGTCAAGGGCTTTCATTAAGAGGTCATAACGATTCTGGACCTTTAGTAATGGAACATGAGCCTATCGAAAATGATGGTAACTTTAGAGCTGTTTTAAGATATGGTCTTCGCATGAATTCTATGGGAAATTCTGATCTTCAACTAATAAGAGAACGCTGTAAACGTAATGCACAGTATATTAGTCCAAAAATACAGAATGAAATTGTTAATATATGTAATAATTTAATACTTGATAAAATTGTTAAAAAAATAAATTCTTCGAAAGGTTTTTGTGTTCTAGCAGATGAAACAGCTGATGTAGCTGGAATAGAACAGTTTTCAATTTGTGCCAGGTATATTTATAATAATGAAATAAAAGAAGACTTCTTAAATTTTGTTCCAGTAGAAAGTACAACAGGAGAAAATTTAGCTCATACTTTAATAAAAAGCTTGGAAAATTTTGGTATAAATATACAATATTTAAGAGGGCAAGGCTACGATGGGGCAGCTTCTATGAGTGGAAGGTTTAATGGTGTTCAAAGTATAATCAAAAAACAGTACAAGACAGCAGTATACGTTCATTGCAGTGCTCATGTGTTAAATTTAGTAATATGTAGTTCTTGTGAAATGGCTTGTATCAGAAATGCAATGGGTGTTATTGAAACTGTTTATAATTTTATGAATACTCCTAAAAGACAGTGTGTATTACAAAGTGAAGTAAGAAATAAAGTATTAAATTCAAAGAAAGAAAAATTAATAAAATTATGTGCAACACGTTGGGTAGAAAAACATGAATCTATTAGAACATTTATTGATTTACAAGAAGCTATAGTGAGCTCATTAGAAATAATGGCAGGGTGGGTTGATAAAGAAACTTCTTCAAAAGCAACACAACTACTTTTTTCATTAAGTGATACAACATTTAATGTAAGTTTGATGGTAATTGATGAAGTTTTTAAACATTCATATATCTTGTGTAAAGCATTACAAAGAGATAATATTGACTTAATCGAAGCAATGAATTTAGCTGAAGATTTAACTAATGAAGTAAAACAAATGAGACAAAATAGTGATGAAGTTTTTTCAAAAATTTTTATGACTTTAGAAGAAAAATCTAAACTTTTAAATTTTGATATTCATATTCCAAGAATTTGTAAGCGTCAAACCAACCGCTTTAATATTTCTACAGACTCTGCTGAATAGTATTTTAGAATAGCAATTTTTACTCCATTTTTAAATTATTTTATTGATCAAATGAATAATCGTTTTATAGAACACAGATCAATCATAAAAGGATTTCAATCTTTATTTGACAATGATTTGGATAAAAATAGGAATGACATTTTAGAGTTGATACAATTTTATAAAGATTCAGATGATCTAAGTGACCCCGATATAGTTATAACGGAACTTAAAATGTGGAAAAACATTTTAAATAGAATTGAAAAAGAAAAAAAACCAAAAAAAACTATTGAATTTCTTAAATTTTGTGAAGAAGATTTATTTCCAAATGTATATAAGTTATTAAAAATTGTATGTTTTTTGCCTGTGACAACATGTACTTCAAAAAGAAGTTTTTCATCTTTAAGAAGACTTAAAACTTATTTAAGAAGTACTATGGCTGAAAATAGACTTAATGGTTTAGCCATGCTAAGTATTCATCGTGAAGAACTTTTGACTCCTGAAGAAGTTATTGAACAGCTTATTAAAAAAAATAGAAGACTGAAATTTTAAACTATTAAAAATTATATTAGTTATATTAAAATAAATGTAATATTTAACACATTGTTTAAATTTTAAGTTAATAAATTAATAGGTTTGGTGTTTTTTTAATTACATAGTTTTTTTAATATTTAAAAAAAGTGGACCCCCCCTTTGAAAAATTTCTGGGTACGCCCCTGTAATATACAACTTAAAGTTAAGAACATTCTGTTTGTTTACATGTTTAAATTTTTCTACAATATGTGACCATTTTTAAACTTATGTTTTACTTAAAACTTGCATAACAATTGAATCACCATAAAAAAGACACAGACAATGTTCTCAACTTAAAGTTTGATAATAGATCAATTGACTCACAATTCATATTAAAGTTAACTAAGATTAACTTTTGTCAAATACTTATTTGCTATGCTGAGTCATAAGGGATAGATAAAAACTATTGTGCTAACATGTTGGAAATTATGTATATGGCATTTTTTTTCCATTCATATTTAAATACCTAATTTTTAATGTCAAATACAATATACATTATTATGAAACAAAATTAAGAATTATTCGTCGTGACTTTGTGAGTATACCTACATATTATATTACCAGTTGAAAAATTGGTTAAATATTTTAGAATTAAGAACAATGAATGAAAATATTAAAATGCATACCGATGTAACAACTAAAAATTAATATTTATTAAAGTTCTTTGCTATAAATAATTATTGTTAATCAATTTTTTTTTATTTTTTCTTTTTTAGCGGTAGCAGTTTTTGTGCGATCTATACGACCAACAACGACCTACTACTATAGATATCCTAAACTGTTTTTTCCTTTAAGTGGAACCATTATATGATTAAATTTTGGTTATATACCACATTGGAGTGTATACGAAAGTATTGAGAACTCTAAACCTATTTGCCTGATTAAATATTTGATTTTAAGTTCAGTATACTGTACTATTAATACAAACACTTTTAGTTCAGTGTGTGTACCTATACTAATTTATGAACTTTTAATAAATTATACTATTTCTATACATAGTATCTTTCATTAACACATTAATAAAACAAGTTATTTCTTTATTATTTAAACAAAAAAAAATCACTATGTCCAATAGCATTGACATGGAGCAATGCAGTGGAATAAACGGTACGTCAAAACTCTCCACACTTGTTGAGAGTGATAATAAAATAGAAGAATCCCATAACAAAAAAAAAATTTGTGGGCGTATTCAAAAAATTAGTCTTAAGAACAGAGTTAAGGATGTTGCCGATTGCATTAGATTAAAATACCCAACTATAATAGATGAAACTGTTAAAATGTCTGACCCGAGAATAATAGATATTTGCAAAGAGGTATTTAAAACAAATAATATAAAAAAACTTAGTTATGATGTAGTTAAAGCATTGTCGGCGAACAACTCAACGCTGTGTAAACTCGTTAGAGGAACTACAGAAACTAATAAACCTATAAACATAAAACATTTAATACCTAAAAGTGAATTGGCCCTACACCCATATTCAGCTGCAACTGATATTTGTAGATTAAAAAAAATCGCTAAAAGTAGAAAAAATATATCAAGATTAATCCGTAACAGTCAAAAGTTTCATACAACAAACAAGGAAATCTCTTTATCTGTAAATTGTGATGAAGGTTTCGACACACTTTTGCCGGTACAAATCGGTGAGTCTATTGTTGAGAATAATTTAGGTGTCTGTGACAGAGTATTGGATGTCACTCAACACTCATTATCAAATACAAGTTGTAAGTCCAACAAATTAGGAATCAATGACAATGTCGAAAACTTAAGGGTCGACAATTCAGGTAAGAATCCCTATGAAACTGAAAATATCACAGTACTGAATAGCTGTACTAGAGATCCTCATACAATTGCTAGTACTAATAAAAAAACAAATTTTGACACTCCCTCAAACGAAGTATTGAGGAGGGATGTTAGGCGAAAACTAGATTTTAAAGCCGACTGTGACATAGAGTCAGAGATTTCTAAGTGTACAGCGATAAAACAAACAAATGAACAATTAGAGAATGACTGTGGAGTCTCCGAACTTAATTGGACGTTAGACGCTTTGAACAACAGTTTCCTTAAATCAGGTGAAATTAAAATGATCGAAGAGACAAACAACTCTTTGGCTTGTAACTATTCTAATGTTATTACTTCTACTCCAATTAGGTTAGAAGTAGACATTTCTAGACAACAAACATTTACACATTCATCGCAAACCGTTGACTTTAAATGTCATAAAAGTTATGTTGACGGTGATTATTCTCCTATGAAATCTATAATGCTACCGAATCAGGAGCAAGTGATAGATACTGTAACTCCGATAAAATTGTCAGGAACTATTGTGGCTTGTAGTACTCCTGAGGCGGACGCAAAAGCGCTTCCCAGGAATTCCAAAAACATATTTCCGTCGACAATCAGCGGTGACCTAGAAAATAAAAAAGGAAAGCGATATAATTTTTTGAATCTTAACACTATAGAGGGTACTTTTGAGTTATCCATTAGTGAATGGAATAAACTTGAAAAGTTGTCTAATGAACATGATAGAATGTCAAAGGACCTTAGAAATATGTTGATTAGAGAAAAGTTTGTAACCGTTAATAACTCTTGTGTTCTGTCCATAAAAAATGTTAATAAAAATAGTCGCGGTGAATTCACTAGTATTTATGGTTATTGCAGACACAATACTTGTAAAAGTTTTAAGTTTGATTTTGAAAAGAAAACTGAAAGCGCCGTTAAGGTGTATGTTCTTAGCAATCATATAAACTATAGCCATGGTGGAAAATTAACTAACTTTCTAAGAGGACCGGAGCGAATGAGTTATCGAAAAGAGGCAAGCCACACAAAACCGTTGGCTTCGAGGCAAAAACATGTTATGAAATCTTCTCCTAGCAAGATTAAACGAGGGAACCTTCAAAACATAAGATCAACCAGTGTGTATAACAGAGTGTCACACGAGACTCTGAGTAAGTTTGATTTCAATAGCGATGACCGATTAGATATGGTACAAATGACTTCTGAAAACTCAGAATTCGTGAAATATGTGTCACCCCCCCAAAGTCCTAACTTCGAATGTTACATATTCAGTAAGGAGCAATTGATGGTTTTGAATAAACTCAAACCGGTCACATTACATGTTGACGCGACGGGTACAGTCATAAGACCTACTACTTTAAAAAAAAAACAAGAAAAACGTTTGTTGTATTATGCAGCAGTAATAAAAGCAAATGATCACATGATGCCAGTTGCAGAATTCATAAGTACCAATCCATCAACAACAGCTATTTTCAGTTGGTTATATGCATTTAAACAGTTTGCAACAGAACACGGCTTTGACGTATCAGATTTAATTGCAAATGTGACAAGTGATTTCTCTACGGCAATAATCAAATCGCTGGCACAGGCTTTTAACGGGTGCAAGGATGTCATTGACTACCTAGATCAATGTTATGATTACTTGTACAATCACAAACAAATGAAATCAAAAATCATACTAAATTTGTGTTGCTGTCACCTGGTAAAAAATATTTCAGACGACGTTTTCAAGTACTATGGTGCAGCTGGCAAAACTAATGAAAACAAAGATCTTGCACGTATAGTTGTTGGTTTTGTAACACCAGCATTTGATCTGAAAATGGTAAATGATTTGGATAAATGGTTTAAAGCACTTTGCACTGTTATACTTTCACCATACCAAAATGACAATGTTCAGAAATCCATTGACTACCTGATTGATATTAACATCAGCGATAGGACGGTGTTGAATTCAAAAGAGTACAAAGATTTTGAAAATATTTTGTTCTTAAATTCTGATGGAACACAGGTAGATGATCTGAAAACAAACCCATTATCAAAGGGAAAATATAAAGCTTCAAAGTTTTATGGTCATTTTGCAAAAATGTCTAGAGACATAAGAGCATCATTTACATTAGATAATGAAGGCGTTCCAAACGAGTTTCACAACGAAGAATACTTCAGTGACTTGCTGGGATCTGTTGTACCCGTAATACCAATGTGGACTTGTCTTATGTTATATTCCAAAATAGAAGTGTGCCATAGACCAAATAATTCTGGTGCAGAATTATGGTTTCATTATCTCAAAGGGAACAGCCTACAAGCAAAAAGTATGAAGTGTAGTCGCTTCATAAGGCTTACTAGAGACAGGATAGAAAGTGTTGCCAAGGAAGTCCTGTGTGACATACCGAACAAGCGTTGTGCTATTCCCAAAAAACGAAATGTCGATGGCGATATTCTTTGGAAAAACAAAAGCATCTTATCAGTCAATACAGCAACAGATCTGAGTGACGATGAAGACGCTGAACAGTGGCGAGCTAGAAAAAATAAGAAAATAGGTTATTTTAAGCAAGGCAGCTTAATAGCAAATATGAAAAAATTTAAACCTATTCAAGCTATACACAAGAAAACAGAGATAACAGTTGATTTAACTACGATTAGTGATGAAGATAATCAAATGACAGAAAATAATATGGTCACCCCAAACGCAGTAAAAAATGTAAAAACATTTTTAACGCCTGGTAGTTACTGTTCGCCTATTGATAAAACACCATTAAAATATGATACTTACTCTAACAGACTAAAAAAAGACGTCAATTTTTATAGACAAATTATCAGAAACAACGATAACAAAGATAAAATCGAGTATACTGTAGGCATATATAAACACGTAGAGAACATTATAGGTTACTCGGAAATATTGTTTTCAGATTTTGATACATTATCCGATTATCGGTCGGACAGTCCTTATGACTGCACAAAAATGTGGCTTTCTAATTTTGTGATATCTATAATATTGGCTAGTTATTCTGTGAAATATAGCAAAAAGTCAAACACCCAAATATTCAGTTCGGATTTGGTTTCTGCTATTGTTGAAAAACACAAATATTATAAAGCGAAGGTGACCATTAAAGAAAATAGTTTTCTCGTTATGCCTTGGAATGTAGGAGGTTCACATTGGATAATAGCATTTGTAGATTTTTGTACAAAAGAATGTTTCATAATGGATCCTATGGGACATAAGATCAGTGAACAAGAGCGTTTCAATAAATTGGTTAAGGGACTTAAACTGTACTGTTCGTATGGTGAACATAAATGGTTTCCAAAATTGAACTTAAGTAACCATAAAATACAAAATGTTCCGCTACAAAAAGATTCGTATAATTGTGGAGTATACGTACTATATTATGCCATTACATTGATGAACAGAGATTGTTTTGATACGTTATTCGAACCTATGGGATATAGGCAGTATCTCAAGACATATTTGTTGGAAAATTCGGATTTCATGAGAGACATCTGCTTTTATTGTGGCAGGACAGGTTATTCTCACAGAGCAATGAGTCATAAAAAAGATGTTGAATGGGTTGAGTGTACGGACTGCAACCGATGGATGGTGATTCACTGTATTCCCGATGAGGATAAATTAGACACAACAGCAGACTATGAACAAAGTGATTTTAAATGTCTTTTGTGCCAGGAACAACATTAATTAAAAAAAAACCTATAAAATAAAAGTGTAGACATGAACAATCATTACAAAACAAAATAAACTTTTGAGTAGTTCAATATAAATATTAAGTAAGTGCCCAACAGTAAGTATTTAAATAGTTGAGTAGTAATACCAGATACCTAATAGTAATAGTTTAATTTGAATACATTAAAACACTAAGTTTCTATTGGTTAGTGAATAATAGTCAACAATAAAACCATTAATTATAATTAAACAATAATTACATACTGGTGTACCCACACTAACAAGTTTAACTCTATCATAGTAGGTATAGTGAATTAATTAATACCAATAAAAATATGTATATAATGGAGAATAAAATATATTTTACTTTGTTAATATATACCTGTCTAACATGAAACAAAATAAAATGAATAGTCAAGATACCTACTAACATAATGAATAACTTGTGAAAAGTGTTGTTTTCTATAGGCCTACTGGGGATCATTTCAACACAAAAAAAAAAAAAAAAAAATGAAACGAATCCATTGCATTGCCTCTTGGGCGGATTTGGAAAATGCACTTCCATAACAGTACATTATACAATATTATATAATCTACTAATTACTTTTAACTGTAACATTATTATTTAACACAATCTGAATTGCACAGTTAATACTTACAGGTTTCATGATTTATAATAGTACAATAGTACCTTCAACACTGCGTTTGGAATTTGAATTGAGTACTCTTACTAGTTACTATAAGTCTATAAACACAAATGGTAATTAGAATAAGTTCTCAGCAATAATAGCAATAAACAAGGTGGCCCCTTGGAAACATGTCAGCAATAATTGTAGTGAAAATACCTATACCCACTCACAACAAAGGTAAATTCGTAGCAATAATGTGGCAATAACACTATTGAGTATTGCCGGTATTGGTGATACGTAGCAATAAACTTATACAATAATTAGGTGGTAACACTGATTTCATAGCGTACGATAATTAGTTAGAAATAGAGAGCATCAAGTCAGCAATAATCATTGAGAACCACTGAAATTTTCTTATCACAGATAGTCGATTATTGCTAATGTAATTTTCATTGATTTTTTATTTCACTGCTGTAGTGATATTTTGGAGAAAAGTAACCCAATAGTGTCTCCATTTTAAAGAATATCACAATTATCGTCAATGTCTGATGAGGAATTGTTATTGAATAATGGTTCTAAAATTTCAATGTTCTGAGTAATCCTATCATTAAGCTTAATATTCTCTTCAAAACACGGGGAGATTCGGATTCAGCTGAGCATATTTTGGACTCACATGCTCAATAGCTGAGATATCACCAAATATCTTTTTAATTAAATAATAACATTCACAAGAAAATGTGATTTATATTTTGGCTCACATTGCTCACATATCATTAGCCAGTCATCGTACAGTTCAACATTTTCACCTAATTCTTCATATAATATATCTGTTGATGAATTGAGATTGAACAGACCATTTACTCGTTTGTTCTACAATGCATGAAACAAATGGTGGCTCTGTACCTAATAATACTGTGCCTATGCATTGACCGTGCTTGGAGAAATAACTAGGAAAATATTAAATGTCGAGAAAGACTTGGTTTATAAATCTCTAAGAGTCTTATTACAACTACAGACATGTGAAGAGTTTCAGATATTAAGGTTTATGCAAGAAATAATGGCTGATAATGAAACCAGTTCTTTGGGAATACTTAAGTCATAATTACATTGCAGGCAGACAACGGGCATATTGCTGAAAAACTGCGCATTAACGCAATATGAGGCTAGAATCTCTGCAATGGTTCTAAATACTTTTATCTCACATGGAAAAACAAACGCCTAGATAAATGTATGATGCTCTTGTAAATATTCCCGTGACTGTCTCTTCAAAGATTAAGGAAAATTGTTAAAAACGAGACCAAGACAACTGAAGAATATTGCAAGAGCCATGCCAGAGCTAAAAGTGAAGGTAAATTTTAACCAGGCCACTAATGGTCTGTTCAATCTCAATCATCAACAGATATTTTTATGAAGTTGAATTAGTATGTGAAAATGTTGGAACTTGTAATGATGACTGCATAATGATATGTGAGCAATGAGCCAAAATATGTGTTCATACATTTTCTTGTGAATGCGTTGATTATTTAATTAAACAGATATTTGCAAGCATATTCATGCTACTGTAGCATGTATGTCCAAAATATGCTTACAGCTGAATCTGAAATCTCCCGTGTTTTGAAGAGAATATTAAGCTTAATGATAGGATTACTCAGAACATTGAAATTTTAGAACCATTATTCATAACAATTCCTCATCAGACATTGACGATAATTGTGATATTCGTTATAAAATGGAGACCTTGGGTTACTTTCTCCAAATATCACTACAGCAGTGAAATAAAAATCAAATTAAATCACTTGATCGTTGTTTGGAAAGTTCAAATAGAAGCTTGAGGCTAAAAAAGCAAATTACACGTCAATAAGATTGATCAACAAAAGGCTTTTCGACCAAAGACCATTTAAGCAAACCAACATGGTGAAAAAGCATATTCAGAAAATATTAAAACAATATCCTGAAAATCCTCTTACAGCTATTGAAAATGTACATACACAATTTGATCATAGTATTAGTTAGAATTACCCTATTGTGTTTATTTTGAATGAGCTACTTTTATTTTATATAATATATTTTAAATAATATGATATTTACTAACTATTGCAATAATAATTTTTATTTTAATTACTAGACTGTTTGGTTTTTAATTCTTGTGTTTCTATTCAGTATTCATTTCTATAAACTATAACGAGACATACGATTGAGAGCTGTTAATCGAATTTAGAATTTAGTGTCTGTCCATCAAAACAGTAGAAATAGTAGAATATAATAGTGTATTTCATGTTTAATATCTTTATGTATCGGTTTTTTTTTTATACATTTTATTCAAATTATACATTTTCAGCATAATTATTTCTTTGAGATAACTTGGCTAGAATGACAATAAATTAATTAGAAATCAAAAATATAATAAATAACTTAATTATATTATTGGCGTTTTCTAAGTACTATCAAATATCAATTATTATTATCACACAATAATAATAGTGATAACATAATCCTCCGAGCTGTGGCGATCATAGACCTTATACTCATAGACGGAGCATCCAGGTGGGATGCGGGTGGGTGGTGCGGTCATTTCTGGCTTGCCAACAGTGATGCCATTCCTTGAGATCAAAAACATTGTTATTAACACTTACCATATAATTTGTTTTGTGGTGTCTGAATTTGAAATTTGAGTTTTTTGCAACATATTTATACATATTTCCTACTTTGCATATTTTTTTTAATTTATAAATTTTTCTGTATATTTTATATTTTTATATATTCTTTTAAATATTATATATTTATATACCTTAATATGTACTTTCATTCAATATTATTTACACAATAAACCATATTTTTATATGTATAAAAAATAAATAAATATTATTAATGATAAACAAAAATACCATTAAAATTCAATACATTGATATTATATAATAGTTTTTATTGCCATCATTTAAATTACTGAATTAGTAATAAAAATTAAAATTACGAAACGATGATAGCATATCAGCTACACAGCATAATGTAAACACCAAACAGTAAATCACGGACTAAGATATACCTAGTATATCTTAGTCCGTGCAGTAAATAAGAGGCTACACAACCTGGTTTGTTGATTGAGCATGCGCAGAAGTGTTCAACAACATGTGCAGCGCACCCTATTCTCACTGCGGGAACTACTAGCAAGCTCCGTCTATGAGTATAAGGTCTATTGCCGATTAGTGGCGATTGCCTCGTGTTTACCGGCATTTATTATCGTTTATCTACTAATACGTGATAAGACCGTATACCAGGAAACAGTAACCAGTGTTATATTGTGTAACCATGATGGTAAATTGTAAAATGTTATTTTATACTTTTCATATTACTGATAACCATTTTATAAACACTTTTTTTTATCTAATAGTATTGTTTATCTATCTTGTTATTATCAATTATGACCCTAATGGCTAGTGTTAAATTGAGATAAAATTTCGTTTTGACTTCTGGTTTTTATTGTTGGGTTTGTAAGATTGCCCAGTAGCAGTAAATTGAACGAATATTGAATCATTAATAAGTCGCAAACGGATTAATCAAATTAAATTCTATAAACGTTAAATTTATTTTTTTCAGTATGTTTATAGATTTTTGTTAACGAAAATAGGTATTGCTATTTGAAAATCAAAAGTTGATAGTGTTTTATCAAATAAGGGAGTAAGTTAAAATTATCAAAATTGTAACACAGTGTAAAAAAGTAAAACCTAGAAAGTAAAAAAAAAAAATTATTTTAAAATTCCTTATACTTCCCGAGATATTAACTGGTTCACGATAAAAAAATCACCCTGTATATCTATGTTGTTTGTATTAGGTTTCCAGCGAATGATGACTTTAGGCATTTGTGGATGTTGTTCGCCGAGAACAATGGTGTGAATGTTCAACTGTTAAATCCTACCTCCGCTCAGTGTTCAAGGCATTTTGTCCCTGGTGTAGACTACAAAGTAGGCACTTCACGTCGTCGTCATTTGCTTAACACAGCAGTGCCGTCTTTGGTGAGTGATTTTTTAATTTTTTAACAACATTATCAAATATAATAAATATAAAATATATAACACATAACATGTCAAATATCCTACTGTATTGTGATAACTGCTACCTATGTTTATACACACACACACACATACATAGCACACCTAGCAATTTATTAATTATTGTTGTAATTGTAAAATATTTTTTGATTTGATGATGATGATGATTTGATCGATTTGACAAGTAGATGTTGGGCAACAAAGCATCCACTGTTGCAAGCAAAGGAGTACACATCATTCTTATTTATTATTCCACACGTTGAAATGTTACAGTAAAATGTATAATGTTATATGTGTACCAAACTTCAATGATTTTATACAGACACACATTAAAACTGACCTCATATAATGTTACAGGTAGTACAAAATCAGCACCAGATGATTGCAGCGCCAGATGGCGAACAAGACATAGACGTGGAAATTGTTGAAGTACAAATCGATAATGTCATGACGGACGTAGACGAAGAACCGTTGGCACAAGTCTTAGAGGACATTGAGGTTGTAGATATGCTGCCAGCTGACGTTGCAGCAGTATATGAATTCATGGATGTATTCGACTTTTACCATCAGACGTCGACGGTGAAGTCAGTGTATATTTCACATTAAATAAAAATAGATGATATTGTTTTTTTACAACTTTGTTGTTTAAACTACAGTTCATACCGATTCCCCTGGCTGCTCCCAGAGCACATGTGCCCGTTAGAGACCGTCCGGCTGGCGTTCGACACCAACTTCCCGAACAGCACGACATAGGACCATTGGATGCCGCCTGTGCTCACTGTTATGGCCGTCATTTCCGGTGTGAGAAGATTGGAAATACTCATTTTTCAACGTGTTGCAATAATGGTCAAACGGCTATTACGGGTGACCGCGTGTTGGGTCAACCTCCAGAGTTATTAATTCGTTTGTTAATAGATGATTCACAGGTAGCCAGACACTTTAGAAAAGAAATCAGACGATACAACAACACTTTGGCGTTTGCTGCGTTTTCCACTGACCTCAACCCAAGATGTTTGCCAGGTCGGGGTCCAAAAGTGTTTACTGTTCACGGGCAGGTGTATCGTAGGATTTCTAACGATGTCGTTAGAAATGAAATGATTCAACCGAGTTACTGTGAGTTGTATTTCATTGAATCCGGGGAAGCCAATCGGATTCTAATGGCACAACAGCCACGCCAACGTCCATTATTGGAGAACTTGATTACAGAGTTAGACAGTCTGTTACGGCAAATCAATCCGTTTGCAGTGGCTTTTCAGTAATAATACATTAAATATACATTCATTACACTTATAAACAAACCCCATCACATTGAAAATCAACACACACACATAATATATTTATATAATGTAATTATATAATAACAATCGTTACATAATTTAACTCAATGATGGCACTTGAGTGTACTGTGGATTTGTTGTATTCGTTATTGTCATCATACTATGTAAATCACTTTTAGTTATTTCTTTGTTGTTGTTGTTGTATAAAAAAAAAAATTTAATCATATAGTTTTTTGTTAATATATTTCAATCGATATTCTATTGTTTGCATGTACACATTCATGACAGCTGTTGCCGCCGCAACATAGCTTATTATTATATATATTGCCGCCACCGACCGATCCACACACACACACATAAACATATTTTTCTCTATAAATTTTATTTTTATATTTAATTATGTGTTTGTGAATTATTATATAATATGTAGATTACAGTCGGCACGTTATCTGTAGCCCCCGCGTCGCTAGGGGATTATTATTTAGCACGGCCGCCGCGAAAATTGTATTCTAAATACGTCGTCGCGCAAAGACCAAACGGCCGTTATTATATTATATCATTTTTTTATTATATTTTGTTGCGCAAATCGCTTATTTTTCTAGTATTTTTTTATTATATTTATTATTGTGAGCGCGAATCGCCACCTTTTAGGATTATTATTATATTTATATTGTGCGCGAATCGCCAATTCTATTATTTATTAATAATTATATTATATTTTTATATTGTGTTCGTTCCTGTTGTGTGTGTGAGCGTGATTATTATTTTTTATATAGCCATATTTAGGACCAGCTGGCCAGTCTGCGCTCCACAAATTGTGAGTTCTTTTTTATTATTACTATTATTATTATTATTTATTTATTACATATTTACATTTATAAATTGAGTCAGAAGGACTATTTATTATTATTATTTATATTGTAGCTCTAATAGCTATCTTTCTTATTAATTATTATTATTATATTTTTGTTGTTGTGGCTCTAATAGTTACTCCTTTTTATTATATTTTTACTTGTTGGGCCAAAAGGGCCGTAGCCTATTTAATATATTATTATTTCATATTTTTTACTATATATAATTTTTTCATTTACCGCAACAGAGTTACCTGATTTTCCTTAGTTTTTAAGCCATACACACAAACATATATACACACAGACACACACCACCTACACACTAGCACTCACAGGATTTGCTCGGCGAACCTGTCCACTTCCTGTTGAGTGCTATACACATATATACACACATACACAGGTCGGTCGGTGTGTGACCGTATAACAGCATAATAATATTTGGTGACCGGGCGCGCACACTTATCATTAGATGCTCCCGGCCCGTACAACAGCACTCACTACCTAAATTTACTTAATTCGTTGTTATTATTCATTATTCATTATTATTATTTCAGAATATTGTGTTGCGATCATACTCATATAATTTATAATTATTCTTATTCTGATGATGTACGTAGTTTGCATCTTATTCACTACTCACTCTTTAAGATATCTACTTTTTTAAGAATAAAATTTAACATGTGTGATTTTACAATACCAGTGCGCTATCATATTCTTATTTCACCTTAATATATACATACAATTATTGACCAATTTTAATCGCCGTTAAACCGCTTATATTGCACCAAACGAGACTTAAACCTAATCATCACCTCTATAGCATATTTTATTTATTTGTATTGTATTACACTGAGCGTCATACACTTTATATATATTGCTGTATGCTAGCAATAATAATACAATGCTAACATAATCTTATAATAATATAATATATAATATAGACTTCAGAATGATAACTCTATTATTATTTTGTTACAGGACCATGCAACAGGTATGGCAGAGGGAACAAGAAGCTGCTGCTGCTGATCCCACGGTGCGACCGAGAAGAGTGACAATGCACATCATCGCCAACCCAAATAATGACCCTCGGCGATACAATCCACCAACTGGTAATGCGAATGAAGTAGCAGTCGTATTCGTTGGTGATGACGGGCTACCACCGAGGAACCTCGATCTGGTCATCTATGACACGAACCCGGTGGACGCACAACACCGGATGCAAAGCATATCAGTGGGCTCGCCTCATGCGGATCCCATGCTGTATACACTGTTCTTTCCATACGGAGAATCCGGTTGGCAGTACAACCTGCGACAAGAGGGTAACCGCCGCAACGCTGTTCGCGTTCGGAACACCATCAGGGAGTTTGTGTGTTACCGTCTGGCCATTCGATATACGGGAAACAATGGACACGGGAAAGACGGCCAAACGTTTAGTTTATTACATGCTGGTGGTTTTTTATTACAGCAATACGTGTGTGATCAGTACGTTCGGATGGAAGCGAACAATTTGCGCTACACCAGACTCAATCAGAAAGCGCTGTTCGCCGAAGCGTATCAGGGGCTTGTGGACCAAATAAACCAACAGCATTATGTCGATGAAATCAATCCCGTTGGTCGCAGGATGACTTTGCCTTCGAATTTTGTAGGTGGCCCCCGTTACATGAAACAATGTTACCATGACGCGATGGCCATTGTGCGTAAGTACGGTAAACCTGACCTGTTCATAACTTTTACATGTAACCCTAAGTGGCCAGAAATCGTAGACAACATTCCGCATTGCTTGAAAGCTAACGACATGCCCGACCTGGTGGCGAGGGTGTTCCACACAAAACTAAAGCAGCTGATGCGTGATATAACAACTGATAAGGTATTTGGTAACGTAGAAGCTTACGTATATACTATTGAATTTCAGAAACGCGGTCTTCCGCACGCACACATACTCATCATCTTGCACGAGGACAGTAAGTTGCTCACTGCCGAGGACGTTGACGATGTTGTATGCGCCTGTTTGCCCGACCCTGAAACCGACAGACGCCTATTCAACAGTGTGACATCACACATAATACACGGACCTTGTGGACAGCTAAACCGTAACAGTCCGTGTATGGTGGACAACACTTGCTCTAAAAACTATCCAAAAGAGTACAGCGAAGAGACTTTGTACATATCTGACGGCGGTTACCCCAACATACCGCAGACCTAATAATAAAATATATATATATATATATATATATATAATGTACGTTATTTTTTAAATTAATAAAATTGCATACCATAACATACATTAAATTAATTATACTGTATACGGACATATAGTTATTAGATTGACGACCAACCTTGTGTTATATTTATTTCGATTCGATTTCGATTCTACTTGGATTTAACAAGTACAACTTTCTTTATAATTTACTACTACTACTACTAAGAACGTTTCCAATTATATTATTACGTTGTAACTTTTAAATGCGAATACGTGTTGATTTCAGTTACATAAATTCACGGCACGTCAGTCCACCAGAAGCAGTTTGGAGGTTATTTTCGTTTGAAATGCATAAGAGGAGTCATACGATCGTTAGACTTCAAGTGCACTTGGAAGATTATCACAACGTGTACTTTTCTTCTAATCAGATACTGGAGAGGGCTGTAGTAAACCGACGTTTTTAGTATAAAAACGTAGTTCTAAAGTCCAGTGGCCTAAAACTATATCACGCCACCAAATCGGACCACTGATGCCTTTACCTGATTGGATTAGAAACATCACGCCATTTCCGTGACGTCAATCATCCTTTCCTAATCACGGCATGTCTCATATAAATAGGAGCCCTCTTCACAGGGAGCTCCAGAGAGTATTTCATACACAAACGTTTCACCCACGCTTACCAAGAGCCTCTAGGGAAACGTTCCACACACATATTCTCTCCGGTTTAGTATTTCAATACTAAGTCGAAACACTTCTAAAAAGTTTATATTTTAAAGTTATTTTATATTTAATAAATTTTTAAAGTAAATATTAATATTTTGTTATTAATACTAATTCAAACATAAAACTCTTCCCTTCCTCGACTACGACGTTATACCGACATTGTGCATTCGTCGTTAAAGAAGTATTGCAGTAACTACGATCGAGTGACAGCGACGGGTTACGACATTAAATTTGGTGTCAGGTGTAGGGTCACACTTCTTCAAACGAAAAATTTTGGCTGGCTCAAAAAAGTAGTTTGAGACCCACCGACGAATCCACATTCACGTACAATCCGAAGGAAGGAAGGAAGAGAGTTCTGCGGAGTATATCAGCACGTAGGTCAGTCCAGGAAGGACATTACTCAAGGGCGTCCAGCAAGGGCAAATCAAGTTCAAGCGTCCAGCAAGGGCAAAACAAACTCAGCATCTCAAGAAAGAAAAATCTAGCTCAAAATGCAAAAATTGTAAGTCATTTGAATATTATTTTGTATGTCTGAGGGTATAGATAAGAATTGGCAAATCGTAGCTTACCACCCAGAATCACTTAAAATAAAAATGACTAGCACAAATAACATTGCAGATAAATTAGGTTTTGAAGGAGCACTTAAGTTGGTACCTTCTTTCTCGGGAGGTACTGAATCCGAATTAACGTCGTTTGAAACCCGATGCGAATTCATTTTTAAAAATATTTCCGATAACTTAAAACCAAATATCTTGGAAGCAATTTTAGCACAATTAAAGGGTAATGCGTTTGAGGCAATAATGTATAAAGAAATTACAACTTGTGATGAATTAAAGAAATTATTTAGAACTATTTTTGGTTCTGCGCATTCGGTATCATTTTTACAAGTACAGCTTAGTCAAATAGACAAAAAGCAAAAGAAACGGTTAAAGAGTTCTCCATTAGAATAGAAAAAACTGCACACGAACTAACAATAGATAAACCACGGGTAGAAGCGAATAAAATCGCACAAACAGTGCAAGCACACGCATTAAGCGTATTTATAGCAGGTATATCGCAATCTATAGGAATTATATTAAAAGCGCGTAACGTAAAAATTTTTGAAGAGGCAGTATTTTACGCAATGGAGGAGGAAAAGTCAACCGATTATTTTAATAACGCGAATGGCAATAATTATAACAAAAATAAATTTGATAAAAATAGTAATAGAGATAAAAGCGCGATTAAATGCCATCGTTGTGAAAAATTTGGTCATTATGCTAATGAGTGTAGAACAAGCGAGTATAAATTACCTACTTTTAGGAATCCGAATAGTGGACAAAGTCCAAAAACCGATTTTAAACGCGAATATTCTAGTAAGTTCTGCAAATACTGCAAAAAAACGAATCACAATATAAGTGAGTGCCATAAATTAAAACGTAACGAACAAAATAAACCCGTAGAAAAAAATGAACAGGAAAATCACGATAGGTCTATCAGTGAAATACAATCGGGAAGTAACGTTAGTATAGTAACACCAATAACACAGGAGCATATTACGTGTTATTCGGATAAATTCGTTAAAAACGAAATAAAATTTTTAATTGATAGTGGTTCTGAAATGAACATCATCAAAATCTCAAGTTTAAAAGAGCATATAATAGTAAATGGAAAAGATAAAAAACAGATTAAAGGCATTAATGCAAATCCAGTGGAAATCGTAGGATCTGTGGTAATTCCAATTTATATTAACAAGCAATTTTTATGGTTAAATTCGATATTGTATATGATAATTTCCCAGTACCTGAAGCAGGTATAATAGGCATAAAATTTTTGAAATTAAATAAAGTCATATTAGATTGGGATAAAGAAATATTAATAATACCAGAAAAAAAAGGTAATAAATAATAATGCATTTATCATTCCGCCGCGAAGTAATTGTGTATTACAAATCCGAACTGATGAAGAAATAAAACATGAATAAATAGCTATTAAAAAACATGAAATTAATGAGGACGTAATTATAGCTAATAGTATCAGCCCAGTCAAAGGTGATACGATAATAGGTAATATTATAAATATATCGGAGCAACCGTTCATAATTAATCAATTAATTAAAAATAAAACAATTAATAGAATAAAAAAAATAAACGAAACAATTAATACGGAACATTGAAATAATGAAGAGCGTGAAAATATTTTAGAATTATGTAGCCGTTTCTTAGACTTATTTTTTCTTGAAGGTGACCGGCTGAGCGCAACCGACATAGTCACTCATAAAATAAATACTCCTAGGTGTGTGAAACCAATAAATATACGTTCATATAGGTTACCTCATGCGTATCAGGAGGAAATAGAGAAACAGATAAAAGAGATGAAAGAAGCAAGTATAATACGAGATTCTGTATCACCTTTCAATTTTCCGTTGGTAGTGGTGAAAAAGAAAAAAGACCCAGGAGGGGAACAGAAGTTTCGAGTATGCGTAGATTTTCGTAAATTAAATGAAGTTACAGAAAATGAGGCTTATGGGCTACCAAATATTATAGAAATACTAAAATCGTTGGGCTCATCTAAATACTTTTCGACTCTAGATCTTGCTAGTGGGTACCACCAAATAATGATAGATAAAAAGGACACTCATAAAACAGCATTTTCAACAAAATCAGGGCATTATGAATTTTTACGTTTGCCTTTTTGACTGAGCTCCGCGCCCGTCACTTTTACGAGAGCTATGAAGTCAATTTTAATGGGTTTAGAGGAATTATGTACAGCATATCTCGATGACATTATAGTCCATGGGTCAAGTTTAAAAGATCATCAAAATAAATTAGAGCAGGTGTTTACACGCTTACGTTTACATAAATTAAAATTACAACCAAACAAATGCATATTTTTACGTAAGGAAGATTTATATCTGGGGCACGTGATCAGTGAAAACAGCGTTAAACCAGATCCAAATAAGTAATCATGTATCAAAGAATATCCGAGACCGTTAAACGAGAAAGACATAAAATCTTTCTTAGGTTTATTAAATTACTACCGCCGTTTCGTGAATAACTTTGCCAAGATAGCAAAACCTCTTACAAATTTATTAAAGAAAAACACGCCATTTGTATGGACAGATATGTGTGAAAATGCATTTCAGGAATTAAAAAACGCGTTAATGAACCCGCCTCTATTAATATACCCTAATTGGGAAAATGGGAATTTTAATTTAATGACTGACGCAAATCAGTATGCTATCGGGGCCATCTTATCACAAGGTGAGGTTCCGAAAGATCAACCCATTGCATACGCGAGTAGAACGTTAGGCAAAGCCGAAACAAATTATAGCGTAATACAGAAAGAGCTATTAGCAATAGTATGGGGAGTAAAATACTTCAAACCATACCTATACGGGAAAAAGTTTAAAATAATAACCGACCATCGCCCTTTAACTTACCTATTTAATATCAAAGACGTTTCATCACAATTGATGCGTTGGAGATTACAACTCGTGGAATACGACTACGAAATAATATATAAAGCCGGTCCGGAACATTCTAATGCCGATTGTTTGTCACGTATACATATTGTTACGGCCGATGAACAGGCGAAAGAATTCGAAAAATATAAACAAGCGGAAAATAAACCAATTTTTAATTCAAAAATAAAGAAATAGAAGGTAGCATAAAACACGCTAAACCAAATGAAAATGTAATACTACCTATTTCGAGCGATATAATAATAACGCATACTGCGATAAAGGAAATAATCGAAAAACAACAATTAGCACCGCAGCTAATATTCAATAATGAAAATAAATTTATTGAGGTAAACCAAACAGACAAATTAATAATGTAACGAGACAAAAATGCATAGTGCAACAACACCATTACTACAGTCACACTCCCGCCCCTAGTGATGAACAGCGACACTACTATCCGTCGAATACTGTTCGACGGCAGTAACAAACAACTATAGATGGCGCGAGTGTGCCACGACCTTTAAAACACTCAAAGTTGCTTTACAGAAAAGGGAGAAAACCTATCTTCTAGTTGAAATAATGGCAAGTTCTACCTTTTAACATATTAAGAATAACGTCTCACAAAAACTGTACACTCAATATGATTCGAAAATAACAATAAAGAAGCAAAACGACGTTGTACGGGAGGCATAATTGGCACAGATATGCTGACCAATACGTGCAGATATACCACCCGTCCGAATGATCAAGAGTAGTAGTAGTAGTGTTACGATTGTATATTCGTGGACAACCGACTATAGCAAAACGCATAGTATACGGCATCGATCCACGAATA